AAGATAATACCGAGTTCCCAGGTCTACTTTGATTCCCATCCTTTTTTTTTTTTTTTTTTTTTGCTCTGGGGATTGGACCAGGGCCCTGCACGTGCTAGGCAAGCACTTAACCACTGAACTATACCACCAGTCCTTTTTACTTTTTGAGACAGGGCCTTGCTAAGTTGCTGAGGCCGGTCTCTAACTTGTAATCCTCCTGCCTCAGTCTCCCAAGTCACTGGGACTGCAGGCATGTGCCATTGTGCCCATCCCAGATATGTTTTTGGTGTCTGTGACTGTTGCAAAGGGCACTGGGCAGGGTTTTAAAGGTGGTCCTTAATCGGGATTGGCGGGGTGGTGGGTTTGGGGAAGATGATCACAGAACGTTCTTACGACCTCACCCTGCTGAGGCTCAGCTCCATCACCAACCAGCTAAGGTTGTATTTGAAAGGTTTTTTTTTTTTAATGTAAAGTTTCTCCTTTTTCTTCGTTTCCGTACGGTGCTCTTGGATGGTGTCACTACACACTACACACGGCCCACACCTAAGGTGTGCTAATTAATTGAGATCTTTGAAACTATAAATCAGATCTTCCCACTCCTGGTTCAAACCCTGGGAGCACGGAAGTGCACAACGTTAATCTCAGGGACTCGGGAGACTAAGGTAGGAGGACTGCAAGTTCAAGAGCAAGTTCACGGCCCCTGCTCCTCAGTGAGACCTCATCTCAAAAATTTTAAAAAGAAGGGGGATAAGGGTGTAGCTCAGTGGTAGAGCACCGCTGGTTTCTCTACCCCATTCTGCCCCAACAACAACAAAACATCCCTGGAGACAACTTATCCCTGCACTTGGGTACAGCTGACCTCCCGGGTGGCCAGGCTCTGCCCCCAGCCTGGCCTCAGCTCCTGCCACTTCCCTATCGCTACATTCCAGTTGTGCTGGTCTTTCTTGTCCTCAGATACCAGCTCAGCCCCTCCTCGGGCCTGTACACAGCCTCTTCCTCTACCTGGAACTGTGGCCACCCAGTCTTCCCTTGGCCAGCTGCTTTCTGTCACTCAGATCTCTCCGCATGAATGCCGCCTCTCTGGAGATTGCCAGGAAACTTCTGACCCCTGGGAGAGTTCACTGAAGCCATTTTTGTCCCGAGGGCATTGACCATGCCACACACTGAGAGTCCAGGGCAGTGGGCCTGTAGAGTGGCCAAGATGACGCAGAACAAAACAGCGCCCACCCATGAGGGTCAACGGTGCTTGAGTCTTCTAGACTCCTCGCGGTGGCTTCCAGTGGGTGGCCGGGTGCACCGTGAAGGAATACTGACACCATGAGAAGCGACGAGTACTGTGGATCAGGTGGCCGATGCTGGGCATTTACCTGGATCCCACTGAGGAACATCAGTAACTACAACCCCAGGGGACGGGAGAGAAGTCCGGTCCACCGGAGAAAGAAAAGGGAGCAAGAAGAGAAAATAACTCTGGAGAGGTCATTGTCACAGAGCTGCAGAGCCCCGATACGTGCCAAGGGGGCACACAGGACCTGGGGCTGGGAACTCGGGGTGCAGTGGCCCTGGTGGTCGCACCCTAGAGCATGGCAGAGGGAAACACAGACTTTTCCAGAAGACACCTCTTTCACTCCAAGCCTAAGGAAGTCCCTGCAAATAACTGACGATAACAGGGCAGCTCTGGTTTGAGTGCCCTCCAAGGGCACTCAAGGGTTGAAATTTAATCCTAATTGTGAGCTGTTAAGGGTGGAAACCCAATCCAGCTGCAGAGTTTAGAGGCTGGGCCTTTGGAGGTGAGCAAGACTTGATGAGGTCATCAGGGTGGTGTCACCACGATCAGATCCCGGTGGCTTTGTAGCAGAGGGAGAGGACAGAGACATACACATCTGCTCCTCATGATGCCATATGGTCCCTTTGCACCTCAGGATTCTGCCTCAGGTGCTTAATTATAGTAAGAAAAGATGGGCTGACATGCTGGCCTACCTGGAATTAAGGCTCCCTGAGCAAGGGCCATGAGAAAGAGCAGCCGGCAGAACGGCATGTGGGGACCTTCAGGATCGGAATGTCTGGCAGGTTCTAAGGTGATTATACTTAACTGGTGAAATCGGAAGTTATCAAAAAGAGGAATAAGAAATAAATAAAGCAGTAATCAAGCTGGGAAATGTTTACAAGGAACATTTAAGGGAAGATCTTAAAAAGTAATATGACAGGTACTTGGGAGGCTGAGGAAGGAGAATCACAAGTGAGAGGCCAGCCTGGGCAACTTAGCAAGACCTTGTCTCAAAATAGATGTAGCTCAGAGATAGAGCACTTGCCTCGCCTGCTCTAGGCTCAGGGTTTTTTTCTTTTGCTTTTGTGGGAGGGGTACCGGTGATTGAACTCAGGGTCACATGACCCCTGAGCCACATCCCCAGCCCTCTTTTGTATTTTACTTAGAGACAGGATCTCACTGAGTTGGTTGGTTAGTGCCTCACTTTTGCTGAGGCTGGCTTTGAACTCACGATCCTCCTGCCTCCGCCTCCTGAGCTGCTGGGATTACAGGCATGTATCACTGCACCCAGCTAAACTCAGCGTTTGATTCCCTGAATTACTGGGGGTGGGGGGGGCGGGGGAGGAGAGACAAAACGAGGGAGAGAGAGAGGGAGGGAAAGACATGACAGATTTGAAAAAGAACAAAATAGGACTTTTAGAAAAAAAAAATGATACCCAAAATAGTAAACTCAATCATCGCCCTTGTCAGAAAAATGGACATGCCGAAGAATTAGTGAGATATCAAGATAAATCATCCAGAATGCAACATGCAGAGCAAAAGATGCAAAATACAAAAGAGAGAAAATGAGTTTGAAGATTCTATGAGAAAATTCTGACCTACATTGCTTGGGGGTTTCAGACAGAGAGGCAAAGGAGAAGGGTTTTCAGAGCTAGTGGCTGAGCATCATCTGGACCTGCTGAAGACGGCCCACTAATCTGAAGAGTTAAATGTGCTGAAATGAGCGAGGAGTGAGCCATGGGTCTGTGCCCTCCCTCTCGACTCTGGGCGTCCATGCGCACAAAGCCCCTTCCTCCCCCCAGGCTCTGTACACAGTGGGAGCCAGTTCTTGTCACTGGGAGCCATCAGCCTGCTGCCAGTTCTCCTGCCAGATGTCCTCGCCCACTGCTCAGGCTTTGTTGTCCTGCCCTGCCTTCCTGGTGATCTCTGGCTTAAATTAGACAGGCGAGGGGCAGAGTGGTGCCAGGCTCCTCTGCTTTGACGAGCCCAGCCTCAGATCTTCCAAAACTTCTCCCTGGAGAGGAGGAGCAGCTCCACTGGTTAGCAGTCTTCTTTCCTGGATCAGAAGGAAACATTTCAAATTCAGAAAAGCAATCCAAACCCCATTGCTGCTGTGAGGGCAAGAGAGAAGAGGGTTAGAAAGGGTTCTGGCTGCGAGGAGCCACTCATCACAGCAGCACCAGCTGCCACATGCACACTGTGCTGTAAACACAGTGCTTTATATTTTCAGTGAAACAGCCAAGAGAGCATCAGTCTCATTTTTCCAGATGGGAATACTGAGGCCCAAGAAGCAAAGTTATTTGTTTCCCCTCCAATGACCAGAACCCAGGTTACCCATACTAGGCCACCTCTTCTCATGGAAAGGCAAAACAGCACCTCCTACCATGAATCCAATTCCTTTTGCATACAGGGTGCAATGCCAGAATCAGTGGAGAAGTGTGTTTGGTTTTTCTGACTCCAGAGTTTATAGCTAATTGGCAGGGACAGGTCAAATACAGGTGGAAAAGGTTTTAGATAGCTTGCAGAAAGGAATTCCAAAGAGGACAGATCAATGAAGAGCAAATGGAAGAGGTGACTTGCCAAGCAGAAGTGGGGGGAAAATGCACTTATCAGCAAACCCAGACTGGCCTTCCATGGTCCATTCTCCACAAGAGCCAGAGGAACTTTTTTTTTTTTTAATTATATTACCTTATTTTTGTGGTACTGGAGATTGAACCCAGGAGTTCTCTATCACTGAGCTATATCCCCAGCGCTTTTTTTATTTTTTACTTTGAGACAGAGTATCACCAAATTGCCCAGGCTGGCCTCAAATTTGTAATCCTTATAACAAAATTGAATCTGCTGGAAAGAAATTGGGAAAACAATTCCATTCACAATAACCTCAAAAAATGAAATACCTAGGAATAAATCTAACCAAGGAGGTGAAAGACCTTTACCATGAAAACTATAGAATATTGAAAAAGGTATTGAATAAACTTAGAAGATGAGAAGACTTCCCATGTTCATGGATAGGCAGAATTAATGTTATTTAAATGACCATATTACCAAAAACAGTGTACAGAAATGCAATCCCCATCAAAATACCAATGACATTCTTCATAGAACTAGAAAAAACAGTCGTAAAACTCATTTGTTTTCTCTCATAATGTGGAGACTGGAGAGGCATTATTCCCTGAGCTTTAGGGTCCTATGGAGTAAGTCATTGCCTGGGCCTATATGCTGGAGTGTTGACCCTTGTTTTCTTCTAGGAGTTGCATCGGTTCTGGTCTAATTCCTAGGTTTTTGATCTATTTTGAATTGATTTTTGTGCAGGGGGAGAGAGAAGGGTCCACTTTCACTCTCCCACATGTGGATAACCCAGGAAAATGGGGATAAGTTCTCATGAAAATAAAAAAAATATTGTCCAGTCCACTCATGTTTTTCTCTTGCTGGTTATATCACAATCCTGGGGTTGCTTTGATACTTTAATACCTGTCTTCTGTATTAAAGCTATTAAAATATAAAAAAAAAAAACCACTTGTGATCCTCCTGCCTCAGACTTCCAAGTTGCTGGGATGACGGGGGTGCACCACACGTGGGCTCCAGAGGGGCCTTTCCGTATGTGTGTGGGTGTGTGTATGTCTGTATTTACACATGTCCTTATGGAGATATAGACAGGTCTTCATAAAATGTGAATTATGTCATTTTCCTGCTCAAAGCTCACCTTCGCTTTCTGCTTTCTCATAATGAATTCCAGTTTTGCAGCTATAATTTAAAAAGCTTTGTGCAGTGGCAGTGTTGTAGCTGATGAGGTTTATCTGAGGTATGATCATTGATAATTGAAAACCTTTCTCAATAACCTGCCATGATGACTTGAAATACAGTCGGCATCAGCAAATTTTTGACAGTCTCTATGGAGACTGGATTTTTCAAAAATGGTCTTCCATGCTGGGTGCAGTAGTGCACACCTGAAATTCCAGTAACTCAGGAGGATAAGGAAGGAGGATCACAAGTTCAAGGTTAGCCTCAGCAGTTTAGTAAACCCTAAGCAACTTAGTGAAACCCTGTCTCAAAATAAAAAATAGAAAGGACTAGGAATGTGGCTCAGTGGTAAAGCAACTCTGGGTACAATACCCAGTACAAAAACCCTACATGGGGGCTGTGGTTGTGGCTTAGTGGCAGAGCGCCTGCCTCGCACATGTGAGGCACTGGTTCAATCCTCAGCACCACATAAAAATAAATAAACAAAATAAAGATATTAAAAAAAAAAACCCTACATGATCTAGGTTTCTTATTACCTGAAATTCTCTTGTTATTCAATTTATTTCCTTGGTTATCATATACATCTCCTCAGCGGAATGTAAACTTCACAGGGACAAAGGTCTCACCTGCTCTGTTTACTGTTCTATTTTTGGTATGTGGAACTGGGCCGAATTCACCATAGCTGCTCAATGAAAAGTTATGAAAAGATGGTAAAATGAAAAGAGGCAGGTGGGATTTTGTTTTGGAGAGGGAAGCTTAAAGGAACACATAGAGCTGGTGCCACCATATTTCTTAGCTGTGGATGTCCCTGAACAGTGAAAGACACTGTGCCACTTTTTGTGGTCCTTGAAACATTGTAGACGTATTATTAATCCCATTTTCCCCCCTCTCTTCTTTCGAGAGGGGGTGCCTTCTCTGATCCACACCAAACTGGCACTCTCCCCCAAGCCTCCAGTTTTTTGTGTGTATATAATTCCATCCTGTTGAATTGCACAGGAGGCACGGTGCAGATTAGGATGCCATTTTTGAGGGGGGAGGTGGGGCCGACTTGGGTAGATCAGATGAGGCAACTCCTCTTGAAAGAAGAGAGGAAAGGAGGCAGGAAAAGGAGGTGGAGCAGGTGGGGGCAGCTGGTGTGAGATGATGTAAGACGATTAGCACCCAGAGCCGCCTCAAGGTGTCCCAGAAACACTCTCTCTTCCCACATTTGCTGCCTGAGATGAGGTATGGAAAGTTCACGGTGATTAGTCGTTTCCGGATTTAGTGCCTGAATTAACACTCTCTGTTGAGAAGAATCTTGAAAGAAAGAAAAGAAGGAAGGAGCATGGAGTGAAAAGAAGAGTAAAAAACTACCCGACTATTTTCAGTACTGAGAGAGGAAGTGTGAACTTGGGCAACACGTTGCCTAAGTGGAATGAATGTCAAGTGCTTCTGGGACTATCGCAGGGTCAGATAATGTTATGAAGGTGCCACCTTGATTTGTTTTCTCCAGCTATGTGATTTAAAAATGATGCAGTCCACATAAGTAGGACATGATCTATCCTGCTTTAAAATCAGGAGTGGTGGGAAAGTGGATGGGAATATAGTAGCTTGAGCACACATTCAGAAGTCCCCAAAGGAAACAAACAAACAAAAAGCTGGAAATGTAGGGATTTAACCCAGGTGCATTTGAACACTGAGCCACATCCCCAGCCCTTTTTTCATTTTTTGAGACACAGTTTTGTTAAATTGTCCAGATTGTGCTTAAACTTTAGATCTTCCTGTCTTGCTATCTTGGCCTCCTAAGTCTCTGGGGTTACAGGAATGTGGCACTGCACCCAATCTAAGTAATTGTGTGTGTGTGTGTGTGTGTGTGTGTGTGTTGCGGGTGGGGTACATGAGGGATTGAACTGAGGGGCACTCAACCACTGAGCCACATCCCCAGCCCTATTTTGTATTTTATTTAGAGACAGGGTCTCACTGAATTGCTTACCACCTTCCTTTTGGCTGAGGCTGGCTTTGAATTTATGATCCTCCTGCCTCAGCTTCCTGAGCCACTGGGATTACAGGCGTGTGCCCCGTGCCTGGCTTTACTTTTTAATTTTAAAAGTTATAAAATGGAGCTAGGGTAGGACATGGTAGTGCATACCTATCATCCCAGCAGTTTGGGAGGCCGAGGCAAGAAGATCACAAGTTCAAGGCCAGCATTGACAATTTAGCAAGACTCTGTCAAATAAAAAGGACTGAGGCCAGGTGCAATGGCACATGCCTGTAATCCCAGTGGCTCAGGAGGCTGAGGCAGGAGGATCATGAGTTCAAAGCCAGCCTCAGCAAAAAGCAAGTTGCTAAGCAACTCAGTGAGACTCTGTTTCTAAATAAAATACAAAAAAAAGGGGCTGGAGATGTGGCTCAGTGGTCGAGTACCCCTGAGTTCAACCCCCAGTGCCAATAAATAAAAAGGGCTGGGGATGTGGCTCAGTGATATAGTGCTCCAGGTTCCCTCCCCAGTACCCCAAACGAAGGGGTGCACAAAGCCCTGCTCCTTAAGTGTGGGCTGCACCCAGCACCTTCCTTCTGAAGATCACAATATGAAAAGGGTAAGAAAGAGTAATTTGACAGTGGAGGGTCCGACAGCCACAGCATACTTATAAGTATGCCTCACTGTGCTCAGCTATATATTTCTTTACTGTTTACACAGGTTTTTTGTTTTTGTGGTGCTGTGGATCAAAACCAGGGCCCTGTGCATGCCAGACTGTCACTGAGCTATATCCCCAGTTGTAGTTTTCATAGTAAGTAAATATTTTAAGTATTTGAAATTAATTTGTATATTTTATTATAAAATATTTAAAAATTGCCAAAGGGATAGAAAACAATATATTAAACCCATCCCCCAGTTGAGAAATGAAAGATGCAAATTACTTTTACAGCTAAAAAAAATCTGTAAAGTTTCTTTTTTAAGGGCTGGGGATGTGGCTCAAGCGGTAGCGCGCTCGCCTGGCATGCGTGTGGCCCGGGTTCCATCCTCAGCACCACATACAAACAAAGATGCTGTGTCTGCCGAAAACTAAAAAATAATAAATATTAAAATTCTAAAAAAAAAAAAGTTTCTTTTTTAAAAAGTATCACCTTGAGAGTTTCAGTTTCTGGTTTCAACCTAGAAAGTTTGAAAGCCCAAGGCCTAGAAATCGTGTCTCTCTAGTTCCACCCACGTGCAAAGCCACTCAGGTGTTATAACCATGCCCCTGTGGTTCTCAGAGTTGGAAGGGATTTCTAGAGCTGAATTAATTTCCTGATGCAGGAACCTAACATTCTTGAAATTGTCTGGCTTATTATAATGTATTGATGCACAGAACAGAGAGCTCACTGCCTCTCTGTTTTAGCTGCAGTATCCAGACAAGGAATATTGTAAAGCCACTCTCTAAAGGCCATTTTTGGTGAGGAAAACAAGGTTCTGGGATTTGAAAACTGGTGAGGTCCTTCCTAGGGATGACCACGGAAATCTCTGGAAGGGCAGCAAACATTAAGTCACTGTGCAGAGATGCCCTGCCTCCTGCAAAATGGGATTGGCTGATCCACAGAAGGGGTAAAAATAGCTCCCCTATTTTCCTTGTTTGCCTGAAATAATGGTATAAGGAATGTTATTGGTGAGAGATATGAAAAACAAGATCAAGACCCCCTTCTTCTTTTAATATGTCAAAACAGTAACAAAAGAATTTTACGATTTTTGGAAGATTCAACAATTTTAGAGCAGTTTTAGTTTCCCAGCACAATGCTAGGGAAAAGGCAGAGATTCCGCATGCACCCCCTGCCCCCGCACACGTGTTCCCTCCCTCACCAACACCCCCAAGTGCAATTCTCACACGTTGACAAACATGGTCACCCAGAGTCCCAGTGTACTTTAGAGTCACCTCCTGGCATCCTACATCCTACAGATTTGTACAAATGTATACTGATGTGCATTGACCATTATAGCATCTGGTAGCAGATACTCCGTGCTCCCCCTCTTTCTCTCTCCCCTTCTCCCTCAAACCCCTGGCCACTGCGGATCTTTTTACTGTCTCCATAGCTTTGCCTTTGCCAGGATGTCATATGGCGGGAGTCACAGGGCATCATTTTCAGATTGCCTCTTCAGATGGGCTTCTCTGACTCAGTCATGTGCACCTAAGTTCCCTTCATGTCCTTTTATGATCTCAGTTGCTCTTGTGGCTCTCTCCCTCCCTCTTTTTCTCTCTCACTACTAATGAGGCAAGAGGAAGGGTTCAAATAGGCACAAAAGAAACTTGACCCTCCAAGGGTCCAAACTTGGACCCTCTGTGAAGTGGGGCTGAGAAACTACAGACACAAGCCACGCTTCATTAAGGTCAGGCTGGTTCCCTGGGAACGACAGACACCTGTTGCTGATACCCAGACCCCCTCCAAAATTTAGGTACAGAAATCTGATTGGACCGAAGGGCATATGAAGAGTCAGTGGACACCCAGTGCCTTCCCAGGGTTGGGCCAGAAGCTAGCCCCTGAACCCTCAGCGTCATATAAACCCCTAGACAACAGACTCCCGTTGTCACCTTCTCTTGGTCCCCTCATGTTTGGGAACTCCCCTTTTTTCTCTATTACTCTAATAAATTCTATTACTTTGCATTCACCCCTGTGTCAGGATTTCATTTTTTGAATTCAGAAGACAAAGAACCCTCCCACCCCATTCCATGTTACGTGGGGAATTGAACCCAGGGGTACTTTACCACTGAGCTACAGCTCCAGTTTGTTGTTGTTTTTTAATTTTTGAAACAGGGTCTCACTAAGTTACTTAGGACCTTGTTGAGGTTTTGAGATAGGCTTTGGACTTGTGATTCTCTTGCCTCAGCCTCCCAAGTGGCTGGAATTACAGGCTGTGCCACTGAACCAAATGCAAGACTTACTTCTTTTTAGAGCTGAATGATATTCCATTATGTGGATATGCCATCATTTTTAATCCATTCATCTACTAAAGGACATCTTGATTACTTCCAAGTTTCAACAGTTATGAATAAACCTGTTGCAAGCATCTATATGTGGATTTTTGTGTGGACTTAAGTTTTCAGCTCCTTTGGGTAAATACCAAGGAGCACAACTGCTGAATTGTATAGTAAGAGTATGTTTAGTTTTGTAAGAAATAACCAAACTGTCTTCCAGAGCAGCTGAACAT